CTCTCTTCTATCTAGATGTATCGGTGAGCCTGTTGTCCCTGCTGGTGACCACCTGTGGTCTGGCTCTCTTCAGCGTCTCCCTCTTTGTCTCATGGAAGATATGCTGGGTACCACTGAGCGGCCGCTTCCTCCCAGATGTCCTCAAGGGAGCCCACTTCCTGGGGGGAGACCAACAGCCTGTCCTCACAGAGGTAAGGAGGAGAGGCTCACATTCAATAGTGAAAATATTGGTAAAGTGAGATACATTAAGTTTCCTTTATGACTCATAAACTACTGAAAGATATAATCCTTGAAATCTCTAGTTGGCACAGTCACAGCCATGCAATACACACAAATTAAACACCAGCTTGCTGTTGATCGCACCTTTATCTAACAAAAGTAAATAAGACACATAGAATCAGAGATTTGGCAGAGTAGCCAATCAAGAGCCTAAAAGGGGGGCTGCCCAAGTAACTGTGTCTGCAAAATTTAATTTTAGCCTTGATGGACGCCCAGACACGTTTTAACTCAATAAGCACAATGAAAAATATTTGTACTATATATATATAAACACGCACCAACTTTTCCCTGTTGAGATGAAGCATAATTACCTTAAATAGGACATACCTAAATTAAGCCATTACCACAATTTCAATTCACTTTATTACCAAGTGATGGGGCTGGGCTTAGGGTTAGAGTAAGAATGTATGATTCATTGTGTCCTATGATCTACACCTACACATCAAATCAAATCAACTTCATACACTTTCAAATAATTTCAACCATATTTACTGTACATTTTATGGTTAAGTAGTATTTATCAACAAAGGCATTCAACAATGTAAGACAAATACGTATTGTTACCAAAAATAAAATGTGTCCTAGTGCAATAAAGTTAACGCCTACAATTAAATTAAAAGAAAACAAGACAAAGACGTTGAGAATCTCTGAATAAAAAAATAAAAAATGTATCCTTTTGAGTAAGAAACAGCAACCTTCATTTTTTAAGTTAGTGCCATTCCCATGCACATGTACAGGTGCTAGGTCATGAGGTTCAAGTGCGTGAACCCTTTGCTGCATTCACGAGATACAGTATGTTGCACTCATATTCTATAACCGTGACCCTTTGAAAATAATCACTTTGTGAAGACTAGGGTTAAGACTATTTCACTCAATTTATCAAAGATGTGTAACACATCTGGATAGAACTGTCACTTGATCCAGGTCTAGACTGCCAATTCATAGTGATATTCTATTGTCTTTGTGATAAATGGGAATTAAGGTTCACTTGCCATTTTGAGTGTAAATGTTTAATTGAAAGAAACGTTTAGTTTCTACAATTCCTCGAGGCACCTATCCTACTTTCTCTGCCCCTTATTAACATTCCTTTAATGGGATTCACACTGTAAACACATTTGTCTGCTGTACAGGTGGACGGGGACGAAAGGGATTACAGCGAAGATGGCTGTATGAAGGATTCTTTGGGGCCCCCCTCCAGTGTTGTTGCCCCGGAGTCTGGCCTGAAAATTAGCCACACGTCGCCTGACATACCATTGGAGACTCAGGCCAAGCTGGAGAAAAACCAAGTCCACACTCTGGCCAGGGACCGGGTTCAGAGACAGATTACTGAGCCTACTTCATCTGTACGGTCGGTACCAATCAATCCCCAAAGCTACTGTCCAACTTTTTTAGTTGACAGATTGAACACAGATACAAACAGTTACACAGTCACATAAACCTAGACCTCTGGTTTCAGAGACACCGTGAATTCAGCAGTTGCCTTAAAGCATCAAAGACTCAATAATGATTAGAGTCAATTTAAATGGTTGGAATGTTCTTATATGTCAAATTGTACACTTTGTTACAGGCACAACTCCATCCGTCGTCAGATGAATTTGTCCAATCCGGACTTTAACCCTGCTCAGTTCCAGCGCCAAGAGTCACTGTCTGGTTTGGGCCGAATCAAACCAGAACTCTACAAGCAGCGGTCGGTGGACGCAGAAGATGGTCGTCCCACTGACAGCTGCGGGCGTCTTCTGTTCGTCCTGAAGTTTGACTTTGACCTGGAGCAGCTTATTGTGAAGATCCACAAGGCCCATGATCTTCCTGCAAAAGACTTCTCAGGGACATCTGACCCTTACGTCAAGATCTACCTTCTGCCTGACCGCAAAACCAAGCACCAGACTAAGGTGCACCGCAAGACACTCAACCCAGTGTTCGATGAGGTGTTTCTCTTTCCGGTGGCGTACGCCGAGCTGTCGAGTCGTAAGTTGCACTTCAGCGTCTACGACTTTGACAGGTTCTCTCGCCATGACTTGATTGGACAAGTGGTGGTGGACAACTTCCTGGATCTTGCTGACTTTCCAAGGGAGACAAAACTGTGCCGGGACATACAATACGTAACCTCGGTGAGTTACCAATTCCTATCCTTTTGCTTAAATTCTATCACTACTATTTTCTTCTTCTCGCTATTTACACAACTGCTCCACTGTTTCATTTTCATGGTAAAGCTTCACATTTGAAATTGTTTATAACAAGCAACTGACAACAACTTCACAGCATGTTTGACGTTGGATACATTTGTAGGTCTAATAGACTGAAGCAACCCCTTGTAAAAACCCTCTTAAAGCAACAAGGGGAAGGAGATATATTAATTGACTGGTATCTAATTTCCTCTCCAAATGGAACTCATCTGTGTCTGAGGCAGATACATAGAAATATACTTAGACACATTGAATGTTTAATGAAAGCAGTAGGAAACACTTGGGGGTAGTGACCCAGATCTACACTGACATAAGACCGGGGTTGGTTTGACAGAGATAAGTGACACTGTCTCTATTACATTATTCACCGGGATAAATCTACAGGGTTGGTACACTGAGCAACTCAGTAAGAAAGTTAGATCCTCCTGACAGGGAATTCCTCATGGTTAGCCGGTTTTATAGATTGAGGACTACAGTCTTTTGGAAATTTAAACTTTTCTTCTCTGGTAAATGACCAAACAGTGGACAGTTTGATCACATATAACCAGTTTATCAATTACAATACATCAAAGAGCAAAAGTCCCGGTTAACAATTTTTAATTCATAGGTTAGATTTACCCCAAAATATATAACTCGTAACATTTTCCGATATGGTAGCACTAGACTGGGAAAATGTCCTCGCTAAGATATAAACAGACTAATCTGTATAATTTGACAAGACAATTCACGCATCAGTTTTTTGTAAACAGTGCATTTTGTAAAGCTTTCACCCACTGAAAAAGACTGGAATTAAAAGGAAATTCAATTGAAAAAAATGGCGATGCGGTTGAGTTACATTAAGAGAACAAATGAACAGGAACTCACATGTATAATTTACTCTAGGTAACAAATTAAACACTATACTGTAATTTATTTATAGGTAACAAATCACTTTAATTAGTCTTAGAATACTCGAAAATATTAATGGTTCTCAAATTAACATACAGAGCATTAGCGTAGCAGCAAGCAACTCAGCTACAGTATGTATGGATATTGTAACAAAAATTCTATCTGAGCCAAGAACCCAATTTATGGCATTGTCACAGAAGCGCAAAAAACATCGGTGTCACTAGTTAACTAGCGAGATAAAGTGTCTGTTACTAGTTAGCTAGTAAGGTAAAAACAATTGTACTAGTTTATCTAGTGGACAATTTGGACCTCAAAGTTAACTAGTGCACATTTTGAGCCTCAATAGTCAGCTTGTAGGCCAAAAGAGGCTTGAACTAGTTAACTAGTGAACATTTTGCCTTCACTAGTTAACGTGTAAGCTGCAATATGTATCCACTAACTACTAACCATTCATATGGCCAACACGTTAACTAGTGAGCCATATGCAAATGAAGCAGGCATTCTGATTGGTCAGTTCAGCTATGTGAGGGAGAGCCTTAGGGGGCGTTCTCCTGCAATGCTTTTAGCAACGTCTCGAAGACGTGAGGTGCTTCAGTCGGGTATTTAGTGCTTACTGTTAAAATATTGTCCGTGGGAAGTCAGTCAGTGTGTGTTTTGCCTAGAAAAATACATGTTTCTGTTTCTGCTTTGCACCGCTTTGTGTGTGTATTTTTGTTGGTGTGAGTGTGCATATGCTTGTGTGAGAACACCGGCACTCGGACCAGTGTTGTGCTAGTTACTGAACACCAGTAACTAGTTACCATTACTAGTTACTTCATTTAAAAAGTAACTCAGTTACTTTACTGATAACTTACACCAAAAAGGAATGTGTTACTGTGAAGAGTAACGCATTAGTTACTTAAAAAAGGGCTCCCATTAATGCCCTTATAGCCTTCCTTTCAGTACTGTTATTGCATTGGAGAATAATACAATCTGTTGATCAAGAAATTACAATAGAAGTAGTAGAAATAGCCTGCATGTGTTCTACAACATACCGTGCAATGGCTTTATCAACTTTTCCCTGGCTAGCAGTCCCTCGGTTAAAATCCAGCCGCTGTTGCTTAGGTGGAGGTGGAGTGGCGTCGGATGAGTCTGGGTCTGTGATCTTAGCTAGGCTATTAGCTTCGTCCCAGCATGTTGTTTCTGCAGATGTTTCAACAGATTTGAATTGCTGTTTTGGGCAGTAGATAGGATCTTTGACCCGCCAAGACACAACTAACATTTAACTAAGATGTTATTTTCTTTGTGCTCGCCATGATAGTCTTGTTAGTAAACACACAAACACGCCCGCATGTGACACAGGAAGTATCTAAGTACATTTACTCAAGTACTGTACTTAAGTGCAGTTCTCATCTTTGTTCGCCTCGCTGTTGGCGCCGCTCACCAACGTCTGGGAGCCGAGACTATATAAAAAAAATAACGGAGTAACGCACCATGTAGTAACAATAACTGAGTTACTGAATTTAAAAAATAACGCGTTAGAGTAATAGTTACTGCCAAAAATAACGGCGTTACAGTCACGCGTTACAAAGTCCCAACACTGGCGCTATCTCACGCAAAATATACAGCCCCGCCCACTTTCTGGTGAAAACAAAGCATCTGCGGGAAGCAAAAAAATATATAGTTTGATCATGTCTAAAAGCTGCTCTGTAGTTTATTGCACGTTAAACAACACAAATGATCTTTACTTTCACTTTGAAAAAAGGACAGTAAAAGAAAAGAAAAGTGTTAGTGTTAGCCTGCCACTGACTGATTCACCGCCACTTCTCAAAATTAGTCTCAGTTTTTTGTTTTTAATACCGTCTCAAACACTTGTTTTACTACCCACAAACAACATGGTCTCAGCCAGAGGAGCGCAAACATGTTTTTAATGGTAGTGCCTAGGGGTGTAACGGTATCCGTATTCATCCCGTACCGTCACGGTTCGGACGTCACGGTACGGCACATGTAGTCACACGATGAATACGCCTATTTTTTACGAGTGGGAAAAAAGTCTGTCATTCAAGGCTGTATCCATTACACTATTTATAATCCAGGGGGCGGTATTGCGCCTAAAAGCTGTTTGCCAGCCGCCCTTAAACAACAAATGAAGAACAAGAAGAAACACAACAACAACACAAACAAAATACAAGAAGAAGAAAAGTCAGTATGGCGATTTCAGATAACACACAGGAGCTAGCACCCACCTGCTTCTTTTAAATCAGCTTTGTGGGAACATTTCGGGTTCCCTGTGGACTACAATAACGATGAAGTGTGCGAGTGGTGGATCGGACGAGGACGGTGTGTCGGCGTTGTTCGATAGCGGTGCGGTATGCTAATGGTAACACACGCCAAACATGCTAAATGATATCAGAAGGCATCACCCAGATTTGCCAATCACCGGAGCCCGGCAAAAGACAACAGCAGTTCAACAGCTTATCCCCGCTGTTTTTAATAAACCAATAGACATGAAAGCCGTGAGACCAAAATAAATAATGGAAGCTTTTGGCATATGTTTTTCAACGACTTTGCACTCTTGAAACACTTTCTTATTATTTATGATGTAATATTTTCAAGACATTCTTTTTAGTTTTACAGCTTGATGAAACTTTTTTGTTTGACATCAGCCATTGTAGATAATATGGCCATCTGAGTGTGTGTGTTACTGTTTGTGGTTTGTTTTTAACTGGATAATACAGTTAATTATTAAAAATGTCAGAGTTCCTTATTTTTAAACTGAAACTTGCACTAGGGCCTACTGTTCAAA